AAATAGGGATGATGACATGCTAAGACAAAATGTGTCACGTGTGTCGCACTAGTGGAAATTCAGGATTTTTTTTATATATTTCCTTGTATAATTAAGAACTTAAAACTTGTATACTATTAAAATATGGATTATTAGCTAAGATTTTATGCTATTCTGATTGGTATAACATAAACAAAAAGTAGTTTAATAAAATTTTGAATGTAAGACACTAAAACCTTGTCATGCTCAGTAAAGGTTACCCGGGGCGATAGGGTAAAATAACCAAACCTTTGTTTTTACCTGATACTGTGCATTAACTCAATGTATTAGTGCTATTTCCAGAGTAATGCAATTGGTATCAGTTTAAATGTTTAAAAAAAGCTTAACTCTTTTACACTCTTGTTTGTAGAAAAAAAAATCTTAGTGCTAAGTTTATTTCTTCAAAAAATACACATTTTGATATTTCATTATTTATCTGAAACTGGTAAATGGAAAGTTGAAGGGAATACCCTTTCTTCCTGCTAATACAAAATTATAAACTCTTAGGGCATTTCTCTAGAAGGAGACGTCAGTGTGCCCATGTGGTGAAATAAATAAAGATTTAATGTATGATAATCCAGTATTCTTAGTTATCATAATAAAATTTGTAATGATTTTTATTTTCTTCTTTTCATATAGTCTGAAGATGAATTATTAGATGATTCAGAAGATGAAGATGAAGAAATTGATGATGATGATGATCACATAGAAATGGAAGATGATACAAGGTTGTCTTTTATATATTTATTTTTTTACAACTTATGTTTACGATAATTTACTTGAACAGGATTCTTTTCTTTTATAAAATACATGCTAATTTTCCACTACGTTACTGCGATACATATGGATCTTGCCAGAAAATCTTACAACCATCATTTGACAGTTGGGTGCAGGAGTTAATAGCCATTTGTATAAAAAGCATGTCTCTTAAAGGTGTCCTGAGGGAGGATTTTTTCCCCATTGAGTAGTTAATGTTCTATACTATTTATGAAGTGAGGTAGGCAGAGGATTGTGATAACAAATTTGTCTTTAACCCTTTCACTGCCGAATTTTCCTATGGAAAGTTGTCTACAGTGCTGAAATTTCTGGTGAAAAATGCCTATTTTGAAATGTTATTTTAAAATCCCTAAGTCACCCTAAAATGCACATATATGTACTGCAAATGTTAGAAAATAACATTAAAACAATAAACACAACATTTTAGAGGAAAAATAATATAGTTTTACTACCTTTTTTCTTCTAATGTCTGAAATGCTTGATCATGTGGTACTTCATGAAGCAGTCTGGAAGACACATGGACAGGCATTGCCCCCTCCCATCCTTACAATTTATGCATCCATGTCTGGTTTGCTTCCTCTTTGGATGTGAAAGGCTTTCACTGCACGCTACACAGTTATACTTGTATGTAGAATCTGGATAAGCCATTGGAAAGTGATGCCCTGTCAGTCACTCCTCTCTATCCTCTGGTATATCTGTTGACCTCCTCCCTTTCCTTCCAAATTTATTTGGAGGAATAGAAGCACAGAGTTTGGTTGCCACCTTTTCCCCGAATGAATGTGGCTCCATTTTTGAATTAGGGTTGGCAGTTGTATACAGTATGTAGGAGTTGACTAGTGCTGCCTCTCTGATGAAGTGATAAATTGTGTGATACTACTTTTTGCATTTGTGTCAATATGGGTAGCTGGTACATTTCTGGTCAAACAAGTCAACTCCTCCCATTGAAGCATTGTAATTGCAGGCCACATTTGGCTTTTTCACATCCCTAAATTCAGTCTGACTGTTGGATCGAATTTGTTTCCGAGTGTAGCCATTACTATCAATTGTCAAGAAGAAGTGTCATGCCAGGAGCAGACAAGCATATCACCCTTTCTGTAATAAATAGGATAATCACCTTTCTTCAGCTGTAACCTTGCTGGTCTAGTTTCTTCTAGAAGTCCCCTTCTGATCAATCTCAAAGTTCCACAGGCACCAGTACTCTGTTCTTTGAGGGCTTAAAAGAGGCCAGGGCTCAACGTACAAATGGTGGCAAAGGTTCAAGTATCCATTATTGTCCATCAATTTCATAACAGCATTATGACCCAAGCCTTGCTCTGGTGCCACAGGGTTGTTGTCTCTACCAGTATAAACATCCCAGTCTAAAAGATAACCTGACTTGCTCTCATACAATGACCACAGTTTTATACCCCACCTTGTGGATTTGTTCGGTATGTACTGATGAAAGTATATCCGTCCCTTGCACTTCCTCATCGATTCATCAATTGTAAGTTTATGAAGTGGAATGTAATACTGCTTATACGGTGGCTTTACAATGTTCATGAGGGGAGCAATTATATACAGAGGATCATATCCTTCCTTTCCACGTGGAACCCTTTGAGAATTTTCACAAAAATGAAGGAACGAACTGATCCATAATGAACTGGGCTATGCCCCCAGTTACTCAGTAGTCACTAATCCTTGGCTTGGAACACAATCCCATCATTATCTGCCAGCCAACATAGGCTTTGATTTCTTTTGTAGTACACTCAATCATTGCAGTGAGAATTTTCAGGGAGGTCTGCTGAATTATCAAAGAACTCCAGGGTGTAGGTGTTAATCATCTCTCAAATAAACTCAAATGTTTCCTGAGGGAATAACAAGTAGAAATAATCCATAGGGTGGTTACTGTCAGGCAAAGGTGGAATCACAGGGCCAGGCCTTTTAGCATAAGCTGGGCACCAAATTGGAATATAATTGTCATAATCATCATCAATGTCCCACTCATAATCAGTATCAGCCATATCCCCCTTGGCTACCATCATCATCATCACTGTACCCATGTGCTACATCATGTGTCACTGTTTTCGTAATCATCATTGCCAAATTCTCTCATTTCTGAGTCTGAATCTTGCATTACTTCTCCCAATACATCCTCTGTAGCAAGCAATTATTTCTGTTTACGTTTAACTGTTGACATGGTTCTGGTCAGTGCCCTCAAAAGTATAGAATTTCTCCAAAATAACACCCACGATTGAGGAAACTACACTAAATTACATTGTAGTTGCCTAGAAACCTTACAGGTGCGGCACAGAATAAATTACAGACCAGTAAATGAAACTATGTCAGGAATTTGACTTAAGTCTCGTTCGGCACTCTACCTGGAATTCGATTAAAGTCGCATACAGCAGTGAAAGGGTTAAATTTCATCCCAAAGATGCTTAATTTGATTAAAATTTGATATTGTGGTGTCCATGGGAGATGTCTAAAATCTATCATTTTCCTCCATCCACGCACACACAACTTGAGCACAGTATATGGGAGCATTATAATCTTAGAAAAAGCTGTCCATGTCAGGGTACACATGAAGCATCACTAGATGCATTAAATAGAAATTATGCTGAGGTAAGCTATGGCACTCATTCTGCCTTCTATAAAAAACCAAGAGGCTCAGGATATGTTAGGAAAAGATGCCCCAAACCATTACTAAACCACCAGAGGTATACAGTTGAAACCACATAATAGGGGTGGAGTGATACATGTGACTTACTCAAAATCTTTCTTCTCACACTTATTCAAAGAAGGGAAAAGCACGACTCTTTTGACCATATCTTTTTTTTTTCTCCAGTCCTCCAATGAATTTATCTTTTGGTCTATTGTTTGGTGACAGTTGGACTTCTTTGTCCTGCCTGACCACATTTCTTCTCTTTTTGTCACCAAAATTCCTCTAGTTTCAAACAATATATGTGCCTTTTGACATTGCTGATCAAGTTGAATAACCAATGTCTAAATGTGTAACCACTATCATGTTTCTTTTGAATGAGCTCCCCAGTGGCACAGAGGTATGTCTGCGGACTTACAATGCTAGAAACCGGGTTTTGATACCCGTGGTGGGCAGAGCACAGATAGCCCATTGTGTAGCTTTGTGCTTAATTCCAAACAAACAAACTTTTGAATGCTGCAATATCTTTGCCTTTCTCTCTATCTGTTTGAGTAACTGTCAATGTACTTGTCCTAGTCACTTATAGTACTACAGGGATCACCTAATTTATTATTCTAAGAACTTACGAGTGAAAGCAAAGAAGAATATGAAACAGAACATCAACCACACCATATCTTGTAATCATCCTCATTTACATATTCATTCAACCCAAGTTAAAAAAGTTACATAAGTCCTAATAAAGTGGCTAGCTAGTGTAAGTTTGATACGAATAACCAAAATAACACTTTAGAAATCTTTTGTGATATTGTTATTCACATAATATTTAATTTTCATAAAAGTCAACAAATTGTGCTGCTGTTTTTCTCCATGTGTTATGATAATATTTTCTATTATTTCACTCAACAAGGCTGTAGTAACAAACTTGTTATATGAATGACTTATGAACAGACAGACAATCTTTATGTTGTAAGTTGAAAATGAAAGCAGTTAAAGTAAAAGAAGCTATTGTGAAAACAGTTTGACTTGAGTATTTGATAATCAAGTGAAGCAGTTACGCCCAGCGAGCATGGCTTGTAGTAGAGCCAAACACATAACCTTATTTTTATGCCCTTCTTCCTTGCCATCTAGATGATATTTTATAAATCTCATATGGCAAGTTTTACAAATCAAAACACTTGTGACTTGTTAAACATAGTGAAGTTAGTTACATATTGTAACTTGTTGTTGACTGTAACTATTTCATGTGCACACACACACCAACATATTGCATAGGCTGCTTGCACACATAGTTTACAGTGTATCTTTATACATGAAGCTAATGCAGAAATAAGATTGGTAAAATGTTTGATGTATAAAAATTACATTTGCATTGAACAGCAGTCACCAGCACACACACACTAATTTCATATTTATTGACTGTTATTGTAATCTTACATGTAAAATGGCACGTAAGTTAATATAAATGTACACACACAGAAAGAAAGAAATTTTAAGGCTTAAATTTGGCGACAAACAACTGCCAGTCAGTTTATGCTGTCTGCCTGTGAATCTTGCTGGTAAAGAAATACTTGAGCTGTTTATTGATAATCAATCCTGAATACAGATTATTCTAACAGAGATAGTTATGGTCTTGTTAAATCACTATTTCATGAAAGTAAACAACTTCCTTGTGACATCACATGGAGTTTCAGCAATTCCATGCACTTATTGGATAGCAGGCAGAACTGTATGCAGTTCTTAATTTTATTAAATCAGTCAAATTTCAGATCTTGAATTATTAATAATCCATGACATGTTGAGCCTCCCAAACTGTTAATATTTTGTTGTTTCCGTACACAACAAGTTAAAACAAAACAGATTCTCAGCTGTTCTCGCGTAGTTTTTTAAAGCTGTTATTATACCAATATGAGTCATAGAAAAGTGTTATCTGTGAATTTGGAGTCGTACAATAAAATGATTAATTGGATGAGTCACTTATTTTAAAATTTTCAAACACTAAAGACAACATTTTAAGTGTTTTCAATATTTGCAAAAACAAGTTAAAAAACAAAAATTAAACATTGATGAATTGTTAATGTTGAGATGACAGTGTGTTCTTTTTTTTTCTTAATTAAGCAATAATCTCCATTGTTTTCATGTAAATTGATAATCAAATAATGAAAACAATTTATTGTCACTGATAATTATGATAATGTTTTTATTTAAAACATGTCACAGTTGTAATTATAAATAATTAAGTAGCCAATTAGCCAATTTATTTATGTACTTCATCTGCTTATGATAAACATTAAAATAGTATTCAGCAGATAACTAAACTTAATTAACATAACCGATATCTAACTTTCATACAGATATAATTTAACTCTCCAGTGTGTTCACTAACAAAAAAGAACATCTAAATAAATTATAAAGAATTTCCCAGCTCTGTGCTTTGTTCCTATGTGACTAGATGATGGACAAGAGATAGTTGTATAAAAATGCCACTAACAAGTGTAAAGTAGGTGAAATGAATGCTGTATATATTTAAAAATGATGAGTAAAATAAAATTATGTGAGATTAAAAGTTTTGAAGAAAATGCTATGTTGTGTTGTACTTAAATATTTAATTTTGTCACACATTCTCTTCAAAGAAAGCATTGCTACATAGAAAACAGACATAAGATTAGGCATAAGTAAGTTTCAAGATCATTTGTTCATAAATTCACTGGTCAACATGCAACATGATGGGTAACTATTGCTGGTCAAATTCAAAAACAAAATTTGAATGTTGCCTAACTTATTTGCTGACTGTTATTGTATTCTTGCCTGTACAATAGCACCTAAATTAGTGTACATCCATACACATTAACTAATATTTTCAGTTTAATGTTTTATATTATTTCTCATCACTTTAGTATTTTTGTTTGGCTTATAATATATTGAAAAAACATGGAATGTATTCCTATAATGAAAAATATATTTAAGATAATAAATACTACAAGTAGCAAAGATACTAATAAAGATTAAACCTATGATGATAATCCATACATATTTGTGTATTTCATCTTTGCATTAGAGAAAGTAATATAAAAGTTGTGTGTACATGCAGGACAGAATGAAATTTGTTTTGTAAATTGTGTCACTTATATTTTAAAATAATTTTGTGCTTGTTTGATTAAGCTATATAAGATTGAAGTTTTAACAAAAGCTCTACAAAACATACACGAATCAGATCTGATTTAATATGTTTCATCACATTTATAGAGATCAGTATAATCATACGTCTTTATAAAGATTATATGAAATTGTAAAATGTAGGATACTTGAATTTTAATAACACCCTGTAACCAGTGTTAGGAATAGTTTGAAACAATCTAAAGTAATTTAAATTCAATACAAATATTTGTAAGAAATGTGTGCTATTTCACTGTGCTGAATAAAAGACTGTACAACAAAAAGTGTGCAAACTTCAAGACAGCATATTTTCCAACTGCATGACTTTATAATAATTTTGTTTAATCCTTACTTCTTGATTAATAATAAGCATTACAATTAAGTTAAAATGACTTATATTTTGATAAGAAAGAAATTGAATCTTTATCTTATGTCAACTAATGTGCAATTTTTATTTTCAGAATATTTCTCAGTGAAAAGAATAAAGAACTGTATATGGTGAAAAATATCATTAAGCCATTTTCTACTTCCAGTTCTCAACTGCACATCACACAAGTTTTGTTACCCAATGTAATATAATATTAAAGATTATGATGTTCTCATGTTGACAAAGTACCGGGATTGTGTGAAAATTAAAAATTTCTTTGTTCGTTATTTAGGGTAGTAAAGCAAGAAATATTATAATGTCTTGTTACTGTTTCTAGTTCATCACAGGAGAAAAAAGACAATAACCTGAGCAGCGAACATTCAGCCACTTTAGAAAGGCTACAACAAACCCAAAGACAAGATTACCTGCGTGGCTCAATATCAGGGTCTGTGCAGGCCACAGATCGTCTCATGAAAGAACTTCGTGATGTTTACCGCTCAGAAAGTTTTAAGAAAGGTACAAACATTTTTTTTTACAGCTCAGAAACTTTAAAAAGGTACAAAAAAATTTTAATGCTCAGAAAGGCACAGATATTTTTAGAAATATTTTTGAATTTATATTTGTAAAGTTTTTTGATTGTATAAAACTTGAAGATAACGTTCATGAATGTAAACATCGGCTCATGTAGATCTTGAAAGTCGAGTTGTTCAAAACGTGAAAATAGCGTTAATAACTGGACCAATTGTTGGTTGAGATGTTG